CGAATTTCAAATAACGGTTTCGTTGCGGTTCCGGTTACTGAAAAACTAACAATCTTTTTATCTGTGTGCGTGTCTTAAATTTACGCAGCTGGTAACCAAACCAACAAAGTATGCCACTGATACAGTAAACACACTTGATTTAATTCTGTCGACAGACCCTAAACTGCTATTTTCATTGACGTATCTCCCAGGTTTAAGCGATCACTCGTTGTTAAATTTTGATCTCAAAGTTGCTCCCCCAATCAATATTGAAAGAAGTAAAGCTTATTTTTGACTAAAATACTGCCAAGTTTGATTTAATAACAAAGACTCTACAGCTATTTGTACATATATCTGCCAAAATTTGAAGAGCGAAGCGTGAAGGAAAATTTTATATTGTTGTTTAAAACTGAACGAACTGATTGATGCGTATGTACCCGTTAGGCCTATTCAATCTGATGCTAAATGACCTCGGTATATAACACTACAAAACGTCTTTCTAATAAAAAACAGCTAATTTTTCGTTTACCTAAATTACGTAACACGACTGATTGGTGGGAGGCGTACTTTTCGGCCGAGATCGAATATTTCCAAGCTGTATGCGACGTCAAGGAGAATTTTTTAAAGACACTTTACCAAGTTTATTGTTAAATGACCCCAAAAAGTTCTGGAAGACTGCGAACGACAATGAAGACGCCTTAATTTCTCTAAACGATGGGTCTGGTGCGCTACTCCTGCTGCCAGAATATCCATCAGTGTTTAGTAATGTTCCTTTCAAACGGTATTCCTGTAGGTGATGAAAATGTATTTTTTAACGTTCCACATTGTGCGTTCAGCCCGATGTTTTTCATTGTTATGGTGCATACTCGAAATGTAAAGTTAAGATATTTGATTCTTTGAAAGTATCATCGTCACGTGGAAGTGATAATATTACCTCAAAATTTCTTAAGACAAACTAAAATATACTAATTCTTTTTTGGCCAAACTTTTCGAGCAATCTCTTGAGTGCGGCACGCTCCCAATAGAACGGAAAACTGCGAAGGTGGTTCCACTGCATAAGCACGGTAACAGACATTCTCCATTAAATGACCGACCCATTTAGCTACCATATATTCAATGTAAAATCATGCCGCACACTGCACTCTCATATTTTTAATTACATAAAATCTAATTCTTTTCTAGCTCCTGCTCAACATAATTTCCGTCGCTAACATTTTTTTTTTTGTGAAACTCATTTGTTTCATTTCACCCATTCTTTGCAAGCTCTACTGAAGAAATAAGAAAACTATCAAGCTTACTGTATTTTTCTATTTTTCTAAAGCATTTGACAAGGTTAATCATATATTACTAATGCTTAAACTTTCTCGCATAAACCTAGATTTTAATTTATTAACCTGACTGGAATGTTTTTCCACCGCTCTCAATATTTAACTCTAAATCGCAGTAATTCTTGCCTGACCAAGGTTCGGTTGTACAGCTGCATCTTTTCCTAATCTTCATTTGTGATTTACAAGGTTGTTTTTAGGGGCGAAGCTCCTTAGGGGCTAGCCATGTCCGTATGTCCGTCCGCCGTCCGGCGTGCCCCTGCTCGCGAGCTCACGAGCAGGAGCTCACGAGCTCCCGCTCGCGAGTTCAGCAGCGAGAGCAAGAAAAAAAAAATGAAAACAATGTCCGGCGTGCTCCTGCTCGTGAGCTCACGAGCAGGAGCTCACGAGCTCCTGCTCGTGAGTTCAGCAGCGAGAGCAAGAAAAGAAATGAAAAAAAAAGAGATAAAAATAAAAGAAAAAAAAGAAAAAAAATAGGGGGCTTTGAGATGCCATTTCATCTGTCTTCTTAAAAAAAAGAAAATTAAGAAAACCACACATTCTTCTACTGACATTAATGAAAACTGCACCATCAGCACTACCTATGATCAAAATCAGTATCAAGAAAAAGAAGAAAAAAAAAGTGTAGGGTGTTCTGAGTTGCCATCCCATCTGTCTTCTTACAAAAAGAAAAAGAAGAAAACCACACATTCTTCTACTGACATGAATGAAAACGGCACCATAAGCACTACCTATGACCAAAATCAGTATCAAGAAAAAGAACAAAAAAAAAAGAGTAGGGGGTTCTGAGTTGCCATCCTATGTCTTCTTAAAAAAAGAAAAAGAAGAAAACCACACATTCTCCTACTGACATTAATGAAAACGGCACCATCAGCACTACGTATGACCAAAATCAATATCATCAGCACCACCCCAGCTTCGCCCCAATCAACATCATTCACCACGTGGAGATGCGGTAATTTTTTTTCGCCCTACATTTATACGCGTATGACTGTGTAATTTATCGGGAATTTCATGATGATAACGATGAACGTGTTTTGCAATCTCATTTAAATAATGTTACTCTTTGCTGCAAAAATGGCATATGGAACTAATCCCTAACATATGCAAACTAATGCGTGTTTTCCGGCAAGGCGCGCGCCCTTGAACATAGACACTGACGGTCATTCAATATATAATATGTTATAATCGCCAACGCTAACCGCATGTTCGGATACCTACGACGGAATATCGAAACGGCCTCCCACTTAACTTAAGGCTCCTTCTTTAGAAAACTCTTGTACGGTAAAAATAGAATACACAGCCTCCATTTTGGGATCATAACCACGCCGTTCTACGTAAAGCTCTCGAACTAGTTCAAAATAGCGCCGTTCGTTTCATTCTGTCTAAAGATAATCAATCAGCCAGCATATAATCAATGTAGTGCAGTTTGTGGTTACCCTGTTTGTCATTGCAGAGTAAGTTTTTTTCAATTTCGCCGGTTCCATCAAGTGTATCATCATCAATCGCTGCGAGACCAATTCTTTACATTGCCTAACTATTACTGAAAAGACGGTGAGAGTGCAGGCGAGCTGGTGGTAGCTAATCATGTCGTATTACACCTGAGACCCACGGAACTTGTACCAAGTTCCGTGGGTACTGAAAGGCTGTTTGAGAAATAAACCAGTTAGCTGAGTTTGAGACGTTCTCTGTGTCTGTTCCTTCTACTGAAAGTTCTTCCGATTTCTTCCACCGCAGTCTCAGGTGTAATACGACATGATTAACTATTACTCTTCCCGTCTGAACCATCAGAGTAAAGTTGGATTAACATCTTGCCATTCAAACACTTCTTTTTGTTCATTTATCCCGCATACATCAAGCGACTGGATCCAACTTCTTGCAGATATCGAAACTATACCCGAATCTTTTCTTTTTCGCCAATCTCTGTTTACGTTTCTGTTTCATGAGCCAAAAAGAGTCCTTTGCTCTTATTAATTTTTATCGTAGCAAATGTTGCTTTCATATTTTGCCACTCTGTGTGTATTTTTGGTGTTTGTATTTCTCCCTGCACTTTTTGTTTTGTGGCTTATTTTTGTTTACTTTACCCCTCTTCTCTAGAATGCTTCGGCCGCTGAGCGCATTTGCAATAAATAAATAAATAGGTTGGAAGATTTTCGCTGATATCGGAACACACTACAATCGCAGAAATCCGAGTTTGTACAGGCATGTTCCCATCAATTTGCTCCGGAAGGCCTGTAGCTTTAAAGATTGGAGCAGCACGCATGGCTTGCCGAAGCGATTCGTTTTAGGTCACGTTTTATTAGCGTGTCAGGCGCTCAACCGCCTTGCTTCTGGGCGCTATTCACGAAAACAGCAGAAACAGAAAAGGTGAAATGACTGCATAATTAATTTATTTATTTTGTTTAGTAGTTTCGGTTTTCTAGCGCATATCGGCAGACGTTAACAGACACTTGTCTTGAACCTTGGCATGTGCGTGATGGAACGCTAGAGCGCCGCTTTCGTTTTGTGGCCGTTGCAGACGGTGATAAGAGGCTAACATTTATTTTGCCTGCGCCGGCATGACCTGTGCAGAAAGGTGTAGCGGGTGCAGAAACATGCAGGACAAGATACTTCAGGGTGTGCTTTGAGGTAGTCTGCACTGGTTAATATAATGCGGTACTTTTGTACCAAGTTTAGATGGTGCAGGAGGTGCGGGTAAATTGAACACAGCAAGTGTGCCCTGATGGCAGACGATGCTGTACGCTGCTACGCTTCTGCTTGCACACTAGCAGGCAGTGTCGGACGGCCGACCAGAGGCACTAGCGGTCGCGACAGGGCGACAATAATCTTGCGTACATATTCAGCAGAGCCGTCAAGCCAGTAGTACACACAATCAGCGCGACAGGGGACGAACACAGGAAAGAAAGAGAAGACAGGACAGAGCGCTAATTGTGTGTACTACGTTCAACCAACTACGCCATCAAATTATTTTGCTACAGTCAAGCCAATCCGGTGGAAATGAACGAGGCCACCGTTCTGTGATGGCCTCGTCCATTAAAAATAATTTAGTGCACTATTTGCGCCGCGAGACGTAATTTAGGTTGAAGTCCCGGCCCGCTCTAGGGCCCTTAAAGGGGGTCACGACCTCAACCGAAATTACGTCTCGGGGCTTAAATAATGCGGTAGGTATTTATTTGTGTATCGTTTATTTTGTGACATTCGTGTCCCATCGAGGCATTGTAAGAAACGCGGCTTTGTGTGTTGTCCACTTTTTGTTCCTAGTCTCAGGTTTTTAAGATGTCCAAGGTTCACCAGCTGGCCTGCATCTTCGTTGTTTCTATCATTCTCCGTAATTTCAAAATGTGAATTTTTTTGCCTTATTTCAGCGTTGCTTTAATCTGTCAGAGAATGAAACAAAGAAACGCGATCGAAAGATCGGGGCTTCAGGTGTCCCGAGACAACAACTAAAAATCAACTGCCACAGAAGCTCACGACACACAGTGTAGAATGCATGTTTCCAACAGCGCAAACGTACGCTAACTTCCTGCAGCTCGTATAGTCCTATCAGTTAAGCCAGAATCCTCACATGAGCGTCCCTCGGTCAGCAAAATGAAATTTACGCAACCACAGCTCTTTAGTCGCTCCAACGCTCCTTTAGGGTGAAAAGGGAAAAGAAGGAATGTTTTCGATATTTTTAGAGTCTTAATGGCAACTCACGTTTTCTTCAGGAAATGTGATGGGGCGAAGGACGGGCTGCTGGACACCCACCGCTTCTCCTAGCCAAGGCGAAAGCTAAAACGATGAATGCTCTTCTGTTATCAACCCGTTTTGTTTCTGACTTTACACCTGTTTGCTAGGGTGGAGCAGCGAAACGTCACAACATTAATTTATGCATTATACTTTCTCCCCTGACAAGTACATGTGGCACAGTTGGCTGAAGTCTACGTGTCGAGTAAGCATAATAATAAATACGAACCCGCAAACGTGTTCGCTTTTTTTTCCAGCAAACAATAAAAGATCAAAAACATTTTTTTTGTTAATAATATTGGGCAATATGTTTACCTTTCCCTGACGAATGTAAATATTTTGTGGTGAACTTCATCTCCAGTATCTTTTAGTGCGTGGAATACAGTAAATAAAAAGTGATCGTTTACATTTCTTTTGAAACTATTGGACAGCTAGACATGTCCTAGAGTGGAAACAATATTGTTTATTATATCCATCCCAAGTTTAGCTGGGAAAAGCGGGGACAGGCATACGAACACATTCCTGGGAGTAGGGGGTTCCGCTAAAAAGCATTTCATGCCTTAAAATTTTACAATATGTAAAAAAAAAAATGAAATGAATAACTACAACATCCATCGAATATCTTGTCCGGCTACTTTACGAGCGAAAGGAACAAATTAGTTATCAAGTGAATAGCAGCTATGTGCGGGCAGCGTGGTTAATATACGAGGCTCAAGACACGAAACAGTCATCTGGCAGCTACCGTTCCTGCAACTGTTTTTTTAAGCGTTTGTGAACGTGCAGCCAATCAAAAGAGGGACGAGTTTTCAAAACAGTAAACGTAGAAAAAATATTTTTCAGCAGACCTTATGCTCGAGAACGGTACAAGGTACAGGGGCGACACCGTTTATCCCTCTCCACAACCGGAATTGGACGGCCTCAATTGGAGCGCGTTATTATACTGCGCCGGTTCTTCTTTTTATTTTTTACAACTCTTGAAACTACAAGCCTGAAGACACGGTGAGGATAGGGGGTCTCATTGTGCATGCGCCTGTATGAGGGTGGTGACATCACCTCATATTGCACCACGATAATACTGTTTTTTCTTTGCTCTAGGGCACGTAGAAGATCGTTTTTCGAAAAGTGCTTTCAATAGGCGATCTTGGTCCACCCTATTTCTTTGCATCTTCCCTACGATATTATGATGCTACAGCGAGGGTCCGATGAATCCAGTCTTTTTCACCTTTAAATCAGTCGTTTCAATGACCGCCAGCAACTTTTTTTCTTCCAATGGTACTCGTCAGAAGACGATAAAATCGACTTACCCTTGACAAAACGTACGCTACGGGTTCGGCAGTTCTCATTCGGGCGTCATGGTCTCTGACTTCCTTCTCTTCACGGCGGTTATCCAAGCTTTTTTCTTCATGGGACTGAGTTCGTCCGACTAAAATCTTAAATACTAGGCGCTTTCTTTGTCGTAACATGAATTCTTGCGACTTTGGCGATACCGTTCGTCGGCATTATGAGAATCAACGCGACCACACACGCAGATGTTGTTTTCGCAGCGGCCTAGTACAATGTCGGCCTAAGAGCGGCCGTACACCTGTTTGCTTTCAACCTGGATGGGGTATATCTTTTTGCGCATGCCGAGCAGCTTTTTTTTTATTTTTTTTGTTAAAGGTAAGTTGGTTAACGGAACCAGCGACACACTTCTGGGCCCGATCTGAGGCATGACGCTGAGTGTATGCACATGACGACACGGCATCATCGCAACTATCTCCCGAAGATGCCGGGAAATTACCCTGGTTTATTGCTTCTTATGCCAAGAACGCAGCGGTACCTTTCAAAGGTGAACCTTCACCATTTACGGTAATTTCAAACCGGCTGACCAATTCGTAGTCTCTCAACTCACAAAAATGTATCGGCAATAACATGCGACCACATTCACTCTAATGGTACGAAGCTCTGCGTGCAAAACCGTACAAACGTCGTTATAACCAACGTGAAAATCACTCATGACGCAGAAGACCTCAGGTAGACCACCCAAAATGAGTAAAGTGCCAATGCGGCCCTACACGTCTCCCAGAGTCAATCTGCGGCGTCGTACAAGTTTCAGTGGACTTCACCAACAATGAAATCTCATCCAACATAGTGTGCCACGAAGCAACAATTCCAACCAGAAAAAAAACTTAGGCCAATGAAACCTCTGGTATTCGTAATATTCAATGGCATGCAACTACAACGTGTTGTGCAGTCGGCCTTAAAAAAAACCCAGCAAAAGTGATTTATGGCCGGTGCGGTGAAACCACCCCACGCGGAGCTGTATTTCGCCATAACAAGGGGGTCGAGCGTTGCGAGTACGCTCCCACCTTTGAATTGCAGGGGCACTTCGAGATATATTGTCATCGATTCTATTATTATGTTTTTCTTGCGGCCGGCATTTATTTTAGATTGACGGGTCACGCGTGAGACGACACTTTCTTCCGTTGTTATCTTGTTACGTTACGAGTCATCAGTTGTGCGTCTACGTCACTTGAGATAGCACTAACCTGATAGAATGCGCACATTGAGTGTGTGCTTTTCGAGTGGAAGCACTACTTTGACGAAAAACCCTGAAAATGTAGTCAAAAATAAGGGAAGAGCCAATAGTGGATGCCCAGGGATTGAGTTAGCATGACTCTCGGGAAACGCCACACACGTCCCTGTTTGGAAAACGCTGACACTGACGCCTTTCACTCTTTTGTTTTCGCTCTCCCTTTTGCTTCCTCTACTTTCGCTTCCTCTCTTTGGCTCGTTGCGGAGTCAGTGTTTGCGTTTCCCAAAATGGGGCGTGTGTGGCATTTTTGAAGGGTCATGCTGACGCATTTCCTAAGGATCGACCAATGGTTCTTCCTTTAAATTTTGAAGCACCAACCAGCGCATACGCGCTTCGCACACCTGGAAGTTTAGGCTCGTTCCAACATCCGAGCGCGCATTGGCTTCCTCCCCTTGACGTCGCGTACCTCTCGTCTTTGTTCTTCACTACTCTCCTCTCTAAGCGACACTGTTCCTTTCCTACTGTTTTGTTCACAGACGGACGCCGCAAGCTATTCCCTGTCATGTCGGTATTAATGCTAACGCATTAATAAAATAACTGCCTTAAAAACAGCGATTTCTAACTCGAATATGGGCGAGCTTCATCAGCGTTTTTCGACGGAAAGTTATCCTGACTCGTGGAATTTAATCGCCACTCACCCAACCGTACCAGCTTAGTTTCTAAAGCCTGCTCCTCAGCACTGCGTGACAATGTTTGCATTAATATCATCAGGCAGTTCTAATATTCTTTCACCATAGCTACTGTTACTCTAATCTACCCGCCTTCCAAATTTAGCGTCGAGAAATCGTAAATGACGATAGAACACTCATTAAAAAGGAGAGTGCTGTTCTCAACAGAGCGACCAAACCGGAACAGATTTGCGCAGTCAAGCTCTGTCATTCCAAAAGCACGCGTTCTGTGAACGGCTTCGGTGTGCCGACGTCCCCTGTGCATCCAAGAGTGTACTAACGCGGCAATGATGGCGCCAGCGTGCTTACGCTATAAAGCGCCCCGTATCGCCTTATAACCGGCCGAGCAATTGTTCCCGTGTGTCAATCTTTTTTACGGCCGAATGCACATTTTGGATCATTTTGCGCCACTGCGGTGCCTTACAGACCAAAACCGGTTGCCTGCGCCAACTACCTCAGGTTTTGCCACAAAATAACATGATTGCCCCAACCAAACCCGCTGCTGTCGATACGGTGAACAGCGCATGGCCGAAACGGGTTGCTCGGCGGAACGTCCACGCTTCTGCAACTGGGGTGGCGAGCACACGCAAAGTCATCAAAATTGAAATCCGCGCCATTAAGAACGACAACGCAAGAAAGATAGAAGCCAGCCCTCATATGTCACGGGCCGCCGCGCGCCGCCAAGCTACGACCGGGCGAGTTCCTGTATGTGACGCAAGGCTTCGCGCCAAAGGGACAGATCAGCGAACAATGATCGCGGATCCCTAAGGGAAACGCAGACAATGAGGGCAGCGAATTCTCGCCATGCAATTTCCAGGCTTAAGGTGCAGCTGCTGCATCAGCACCAGACTCAACCGGAAAAGAACGACTACGTAAGCATCGTCGTTATCTGGAAAGGACGCGGAACACGTGCACCGAAAAAACACCTGGGTAACAACGCTGACACGGGAGATCGTGGAGGCAGATGTTCACAACGACGCTATTGTAACCGCTAACTCAGGATTTACATTTTGGCAGGTACTGTGAGAGCATCACGACCACATGTGTATCCCGGTGTTCCCCTCAGCAAGGTAACATAGAACCCATGCTCTCCGCACAACCCCTCATGTCACCAAGCGCACGGAACACAGATGCCACATCGTCGTACAATGCGTCCGTGATATCAATGCAACGGCTCGCCAAAAAAGTTGAGGCTCTCAAGCGTCACCGAGAGAAACTTGCACGCCGTACCTAACAACAAAAATAGTAAACAGATGGGCGCTTTGAGCGACTGGGAATAATTCTCCAGCAAATACTGAATAAAATTCCTCCGTCCCCTGTTAAACTAAATAACGTCAAGATAAACAAAACACCTAAGAACTCTTCTACCCTCCAACACATGGTATATGGTAAGGATAATTCGAAACCAGTCCTTCAACAAAGTAGGTGCCAATCTAAAAATGTAAAGTCGGGAGTAGTAAAAGCATTAGTCAAGAATGTTCTACACAGGTCGTGCGTACATTACATAGCGAAAGCAGTGAAGGGGCAGTGGGAAAGATTGGGGAGTTCGGGTTACGGAAAAGGTTTTATGAAGAGGCATCTGACCGTAAAGGGGTATTCACACCAGGGAAAAATCCCGGGGATTTCTCCCCCGGCACGCTTATCCCACGACGAAAACGTCAGGCTTTGCGATGTGCAAAAGCCTCGCGTTTTCATCTCGTCTCGTAATGCGCGCGTGCCGGGGAGAAATCGCCGGGATTTCTTCCTCGTGTTAATGACCGAAGCAAAGAAAAAGAGAGGAGAGAAATCGGAGCAAAAATATA